CATGCCCTAATCGCTGAAAGCTGTGACTATGTGACCTCACATGGCAAAGGGGACTTTGCAGATGTGATCGAGGATGCTGAGATGGGGGATTATCCTGTGATTATCATCACAAGGGTCCTGATGGAGGGGGGTAGCGAGTCGGAATTGGTGCTGGGAGCTGTGATGGTTGGGTGAAGTGAGGAAATGGCCAGGAGCGCAGGAGGGCAGTCATTGTTAGGCACTGACTGCAAAGAAACGCTTCCTGCCCCCAGGCCTGCAGTGGGAGCACAGCTAGACTGCCACCTCATTTTAGCCCAGTGTGGTTCATTTTGGACTTTTGATCCCCAGAACTGTTGGCTAAGAAATTTGTGTTGTTTGAAGCCTCTAAGTTTGTGGACATTTATTACAGCGGCCAGAGGAGACTAACACCCTGGATGTCAAGACTCCCTCAGGAAGGGGGCCTGGATGTCCTGTAACCTCCTGTTGAGGGAGGAGATTTTAGCAACAGAAGTCCAACTCCATCTTAAGAAAAAAAAAAAAAGTAAATGAATTTGTCGTGGCATGGTCCAGAGCTGTGTGGGTCTGTGCTCATTCCAGGGGCTCTGCGGATGGTCAGAGTCTGTGGTCACAGGGAGAGGGCGCTGCCACCTCTCCACTCTGGTTTCCCCTGTCTGTGGGCTCCCAGGCAGGCTCAGTGCAGGCCGGCTTCCAGGTGGCCCCAGGGATGGCCCCAGCAGCCCTGGGCTTCCATGACACCCAGCTGGCTGCCCCAGTGCTGGGCAGAGGCTGGATCCTGGTGCTCGGAAGAGGTCCTGAGATGCTTCTCAATGGCTCTGGGGGGCCATTTGTTATCCTTGACCCCAACATGGCTGCGTGACCAGGTCTGGGCCACGTGCCCCCGCTAGCCAGGTGCGTCGGGTGGGACAGCCTCACCTGAGCTGTGTGGGCTCAAAGGCCAAGAAGGATGTTCCCCCAGGAAAACTGAAGTGCTCCTTCAGGAAAGGGGAGAATGGAGACCAGCTAGGGAGAAGCAATAGACACCCACCACCGTCACCCCCTGCTCCAAGTCTTGTGATCTTCGCCTTCCAGAGCTGTCGTCCTGATACATGTTGATTCACAGAGCTTTGAAATGCCACGAGCATCTATATCGCTAGGAATTTTAAATTTTGCTTCACTTAATTATCTTTATTAAATTTGTTTTAGATTGCATAGATAATGTAGTCTGGGTAATGATTGAAACAATGCAAAAAAACCTATATATAAAGAAACACATAGGGGTAAGTAGACGCCAAGAAGTCCGGTGCCATCTCTGCTCACAGTTGACAGTGAGCCATGGAGAGAGCTGCACTGCGGGTGGACTAGGCTTCCTGCAGGGAAACGCCTAGATCACTTAGGAGCAGGAGTCTGGAGAAATGGCATCCCCTGGTTGCAGCTCTCCAGCATGCTAGGTATTTCAGAATCAAAACTTGGAAAAATAATTAGGAATGGCTGTGGAAGAACTCCAGACCATAATAAAGAAATGTCAAATCGTAGAAGAGCATGACTTTAAAGAAGATTTTCGCCTATTTCAGTTAGCAGGCCAAAAATGCGTAGAAGAAAGGCACATAGATCAGTTATTAGAAATTATTCAAAATGAAAAGAATAAGGTCATCATCAAAACCATGGCTGGAACCTTGTTGGTCCTGTTGTTCGGTGCCTTTTAAGGAATGATGAAGAAAATGATAAAAGAAAAAAATATTTTCTAGTTCCTGATTTACTGGTAAAGGTTCAATTGTGAATATTTTTATAGTTATGTAATCCAAAGGAATTATTGTTGGGTTTGCTCAAACTGATTGAAGAGCTCTCTGGAAAACAGATATCCCAAATTATTCTTCTTTTACTTTAGCCATTACAGTGATTCAGAAACTTCCTAACAACAAGGTATATTCAGTTGGATTAGCATTATCTACCCTTTGGAGTCAACTGTCTCTTCTTCCTGTTCCTTACTTACTCAAAAGAACAAATACAAACAGATGACTATGGCCTTTGTCAGTGTTGCAAGGCCTTAATAGAGTTCAGTAGATCTTTTGTGGAAGAAGTCATTGATGATAAATAAAACAAGGAAAATGAAAACAAAAAATTAAAGGATGAATTACTGAAATTCACAATTCCTTGAACGATCTGAAGAAGCAGGAAATGATCCCTTAAGGTGTTTTGCATCTGAAATAATATCCTTCATCCATTTTGCAGTTTAATATGGGGCATACTGAAGTCTTTTTGCAAAGAACAGAAGAATCTGTTTTGTCCAAAGGATTGGAACTACTGAAGAATGTTTTACTGAGAATAGAAGATAACAGTCTACTTTACCAGTACTTAGAAATCAAGAGTTTCCTTACTGTATCTCAGAGCTTAGTCAAACTAATGACACTTTGCCCCATTGAGACATTGAGAAAAAAAGGTTTAGCCATGCTTCAGTTGTATATTAACAAGTTGGATTCACAAGGCAAATATGCATTATTTAGGTGCTTGTTGAATACAAGTAATCACTCAGGTGTGGAGGCCTTTATTATTCAAAATATCAAAAATCAAATTGATATGTCATTTACGAAAACACCTAACAAATGGTTTACAGGACCACAGCTGATTTCTCTTTTAGATTTGGTACTGTTTCTCCCAGAGGGTGTTGAAACAGATGTGCTACAAAACTCAGATAGGATTATGGCTGCATTAAATTTATTGAGGTATTTGGTTATCAAAGATAGTGAAAATGACAATCAAACTGGATTGTGGACAGAACTTGGAAAGATTGAGAATAATTTCTTAAAGCCACTTTATACAGGACTTAACATGTCAAAAGCACACTATGAAGCAGAAATTAAAAATAGCCAGGAAAATAACCAAGTAGTTCGAAAGTCTAAGGACCTTTGTTCTGTAACAGTAGGTAGAGAAGAGATCCCCAATATGCCTCCTGAAATGCAGCTTAAGGTCCTACATTCAGCTCTTTTCACAGTTGACTTTGATTGAAAGTGTTCTAGCTCAAGTAGAACTCATTGAAATAAAAAGAAAGTCTACCTCTGAAGAAAATGTTGGAATAAAGTAAAAGTTCTACTTCCTAAATAAAAATTAATAAAATACAAAAAAAGAAACACATAAACATTTTTGCTGTCCTCCATTTATAGAGCTTCCCTGTCCCAAGATAGAAGCCTGGAATTTATTCTTCCTCATATTTTCCTCTGCTTGGGCATACATGCCTTGCTTTTCTTCTACTAGTGTTGCCAGTTTTTACAGAACTAGCCATAAGACCTTCTGTTTCACATCCTTCCCCAAACGTGGGTTCAGGTCCATATCATTCTAAAAGAATTTGTTAATTAGTGAATACTTGTGTGTGACTTAATGAGTCAAGTGAAATCTGAATGTTTAAATAAAATATTCCTTCTACCTCTGCTCCCTGTCCTCCCTTTCTTTTTCCCTAGAGGATCAGGCATCCTTTGAGAGAGACTCTGCTTTTACAGAGATACATAGATGGAAACATTTTCTATGGGAATAGGGCATTATTTATTTTTATTTATCAGTGTGTCTTGGGAACTGTGCTGGGTCAGTACTTAGCCTGCTGTGCAGTTTTATTTTCTAGCTGCCTAGAGACCCTTTGTGTGGCTGTAGCATCATTTATTTAATGCCTTTCCTACCGATGGACCTCAGGGTGTTTGCAATCCTTTGGGATCACAAACAGAACTGTAAGAAAATGTACCTTGGACCTAGCTGTTTTGCATAGGATGAGGATCTATTGCATGAGTTTCTAGAGGTGGACTTGTTGGGTCCAGGAGATATGCAGTGAAAATGTAAGTGCATACAGCTAAAAAATCCTCCACCAAAGTGGTACCAATACATTCCAATCCCATCCCTACTCCACAAAATGCTGGAGCCTGTTTGCCCATTTTCACCAGCATGGTGTGTTGGGTGGGGGTGGGGGGGTTCTGTTGCTGTAACAAAACATCAGAGACTGGTTACTTTAAAAAGAAAGGAAGTGTATTTGGCTCATGATTCTAGTGGCTGGAAGGCCCAGTTAGCATGGTGCTGGCTATGTCGTGCTATGATGAAGTAGAAAGGGAAACCGGTGTTTGCAGGAGGGACCAAGCTTGTGGAGTGGTCTGGCTTCTTAATAGCCTACTCTTGAGAGAACTAACTACACTAATCTCTTCCGAGGGTGGTACCTCAGGACCTAGTCACCTCCTCTAGGGCCACCTCTTAAAGATCCAGCACCTGTCAGGAGCCTTACTCTGGGGACCAAGTGTCCAGCACATGATTCTTTTTTTTTTTTTTGCTTAAATTCTTTTATTGGTACATTTTAGGTATACAATACATTTACATTTATCATTGGGTGTTTGCACCTGTACATGATGCATCTTGGTTCTTATTTTTTTCCCCATTCCCTGTGTGCCCTTCCCTATTTACATGGACTTTGTTTCCATTTCTTTCTTTTCTCAAAATTTTTCCTTTCCTTTCTTTCCTTTCCCCTTCCCCTCCCCCTTCCCCTACCCCTTTGGACCTTTTCTTCCTATTTCAAATGATCAGTTATTCGTTTTAATTGTTTTAATCCTTATTTACACTTTCAGTTTCTCACACCACAGAAACTATTCGGTATTTACACATGTGTGTCCTATTTATTTCACTTAAGAGGATGTCCTCACTATGCATCCATTTAGCTATAAATGTCTCTAGTTTCTCGTTCTTTATGGCTGAGCAGTACTCCATTTTATAAAATAATCCACATATTCTTTATCCAGTTTCCAGTTGACGGGCACTTGGGCTGCTTCCAAGCTTTAGCTATTACGAACTGTGCCAGCACATGATTCTTTAGGGAACACACTCGGACCCTGTTCAACCCATAGCAGGTGGAAACTGGATCTCATTGTAGCTGAACCAAAATCTTTACAATTCTGAATCGGCGAGGGTTTGGGTGGAAGGTAGTGCGTATGGCGGTTTCTGCCTCTGCTCCTGTGGCGGTGCTCTAAGTGTGTCCTTGTCCTCCTTTGTCCCTGCAGAGCAAGCTGGTGAAGTACTTCAGCCGGCAGCTGTCCTGCAAAAAGAAAGTGGCCCTGCAGGAACGCAACGCTGAGCTGGATGGCTTCCCCCAGCTCCGGCACTGGTTCCGGATCGTCGATGTGCGCAAGGAAGTCCTGGAGGTGACCAGAGCGGCCCAGTGCCCTTTGACTTTCACCCTGACCCTGACCTGGTGGCTACCCCTCTGCCGATCCCCGGATGGCAGATCTTTAACAGTGCCTAGCACAGTGCATGGCACACACAGGCCCTCAGCACATACACAGTGGATGAAGGCAGGCAGGATCGCCGATGTTCACACAGAGTTGTTAAGTCCATGGTTTGGGGGCCAGTCAGAACTTCCTTCAGAGGTGTCACTTCTTAACAGAGTCAGGAGAGCCAAATCACTTTGCCTCCTAGGTCAGCACTGTCCAGTGGAACATTCTGCTATGACAGAAACATTTTATATCTGTGCTGTGTGATATGTAGCCACTAGCCCTAGGTGGCTACTGAGCCCTTGAATTGTGGTTAGTGCTTGTGGCCGAGGAACTGAATTTTTAATGTATTTCATGTTAATTAATGTGGCTAACGGCCACCATGTTGGACAGCACAGTCTTAGAGCATTGGTCTTCCCATCTTAAACACTGGTTCTGACTGTCCCCTCTTTTTTAAGGCCTGTGTGATAAAATGAGATGATCCCTATAAAGTGTTCAACTCATAGCCTGGCAACTAACAGCACTCAGTAAATGTCCGCTTGTTATTGCTGAAAACTTTTGAAGGGCAGTGACTGGCTTTGCAGTGGTAAAACTTGACTGGAACTCCTGATTCTTTGTGTCCACCCTCGAGGCTGGACCGTATCCTTAAGGTCTCAAGAATTGTGAGGTTTCCTGGCTCTTTTGGATCCTGGGAGCTGGAGTCAAACCACTGCTACTGATGCCAGCTCAGCTCATGTCAGAGTCTTTGGTGCCAGGCTGATCTAAGGCCTTTGCAGGAAGGATCTCAGCTGTTGAGACTATTTGTACTCCTCTCAGTGACCTTGTGAGTGGGTAGGATGATTATTCCTGTTCCACAGAGTGCTAACTGAGGTTCGCGATGAAGTGACCTGCCCAGATGCTGAGTGGGCAGGAGAGTCCCTCTTGGATGGAGGCTGCAGCCTCAGGCTTTCTGCTCATTTTCCTGCAGCTGGGAGCTCCCTGAGCTGGACAGAAGAGGGAGTTCCCCTATGCCTGTGGGACTAACAGCTTGCTTCTGGGGCTCCTTTTTTCCTGCTTGAAGAAACCTTTTGTCTGTTTTAGATCTTATTTTAGAGGGCAGGAATTATGCCTGATCCTGCCTAGCTCTTTTTTGCCTGAAAAGCTTCAGGGCTGGAAGTATAGCTTAGGGGTAGAACATGTGCTTAGCATGTGTGTGGCCCTGAGTTTCATCCCTAGCACTGCAGAAACCAAACCAAACCAAAACAGACCAAACCAGACCAAAGCAGACCAAACCAGACCAGACCAGACCAGACCAGACCAGACCAAACCACACAGCTCTCAAAGTCAGAATTGCCAATTGCGTGGAGTCCTTGACTAGTGGATAAGCTGATGTGAATGTCTTGTCCCTTTGGGTCCCCGAGGCTCCCTCCAGTCTTCCGATTGATTTCCTCATTCGCGCTTACCTGGAGTGTTGGAATCTGAGCTTTTCCTCTTTCCTTAGTCTCTGACATCTGAGTCTAAGGCCACCCTCTTGAGAGGAGGGCAGAGCTGGTTTCCCTCTCTGCCTGCAGTTCATGAGTATGTCCACCAGAGGTCCTCCTTCTAACGGACCTGCCACATAGAGAGCACCAAAGAGGGTAGGCTGGCTTCAAACTGTGGCTCCACCACTTGCTCCCTGAGTAGCCTTGTGCAAGTGGGCTAACCTCTCTGAGTTTTAGTGTCCTGGTCTTTAAATGATGATAAAAGTACCATCGCCACGTGATCTTTGTAACGTATAAAGAAAACCCGTGGAAAGCACTTAAAACAATGCTTCCTCCACCTCAGCTGATACTGTTTTATCACACACTCACGTGTCTGCTCTCTTGTCCAGGTTGGTGAAGGCTTTCTCCACGTTTAGTGCCATAAAAATTATTTTTAGTGATAGTAAATTTCAGTGTAAATAGTTTGAAATTGAAAGATTAAAATGCACGAGTCCCACAGAAGAGAGGAGAAAATCCTTTTCTGTTGTGCACGACCTCCTCTCAGTATGATTCGTCCTGTACCTGTACCTTCAGACCCGGGCGTTGTCCCCTTTGTTACGGTGGCCTTGCCTGCAACGTGTCCCACTTGGGGAAAGCCTCAGGAGACTCGGCTGCTGTTCTCTTTCTGCCCCCTGACCAAGTGCAGTGATGGAGCTTTGGGTTTTGCCCTTCAGTTCATTTATTTATTATTTATTTATTTTAAAAGTTTTGATAGAATTTACGTGTCGTAGATTATTTCTGGTTGAGTTTAACGGTGAGAATCTGAACTTTGTCACAATGCACAGATATGACCACCAGAAAGAGCTCACGATATTGCCCTGGACAGCCCCATCCAAACTCTGGAAAACCTTATTTAAATAATATTTGTGTAAAAACGTTGGCTACCATTAAATGCTATAAACGAACACTCATAATATATGTTTGTAGTACATGTACTTATAGACAGGTGACTACAAAAGTTCACCAGAGTTTGAGGTGTACCCGTAGTAGGGAGACACATTAGGCGCTGTAAGTCTGGCTCACCTTGTCAGGGGCGTCCCTTTCCCGCCCCACAGGATTCCCCAGCCTCGCCACGCGGCCTGAGGATGCAAAGCCACGCCCCACATGGCGCCCACACGCAGCAGCTCCGGCCCCCTTCCCAGCCCTGAGTCGTCCATGGCCTTTCAGCCTTTCCACCCTTATGGCTCCTGAAGATGCGCCGCGAACCCTCGACCCTGTGGCTGGGACAAGAGGGACCCGAGAGCGTAGGGCAACCAGTGGGGACTGGAGCTGCCTGGCCGGCTTGTGTGGGTTCACGCTAGGACTAATTTACATGGGTCTCTGCAGTCCAAGCCGAGCAGGGGCCCCTGGGAGCCATCACGGAGGCTTGAGCTGGGGCCCGGCCTCCTAGGGTGCTCAGAAGCTGGATGGGAGCATAGATACAGATAATTAACTGGGGCACATGTGGGGTGCTTATGATGCAATCAGCGTCTGTGCGACATTCCCAAGTCCGCATATTTAGGATCCCCCTCTTATCAGTGAGAAAAGAGAGGCCCAGAGAGGTTAGGCGACTTGTCCGAGGCCATGAATGAATGCGTGGCAACCCTGAGACTCCAACCCAGGCCTTTCTGACCTCAAATTCCAGACCCAACCCTTATAGTACAAGCCATTTGCACAGCGGTGTGTCCTCCGCTAGGGGCCGCTAGGGGGCAGCGTGGAGACAGTTGCAGCCTGGTTGACCCTTTTCTGTTGCCTCCCCTAGGAAATCTCCCCGGGGCAGCTGAGCCTGGAGGACCTCCTAGAGATGACAGACGAGCAGGTGTGCGAGACAGTGGAGAAGTATGGAGCTAACCAGGAGGAGTGCGCCCGGCTCAATGCCTCCCTCTCCTGTCTCAGGAATGTGCACATGTCAGGTGAGCCGGCCAGGGGGGTGGACACCCATCCCCAGTGCATCTGCTGCCGTTTTGCAGTGTCCCATGTGCGATGTCCACAGCAGAGAGAAGACGGGCCTGGGGTTTGGAGGCTGGAAGACATTCTTGGGTTTGAACTCAGCCCTGGGACAACCTGCTGAGGCCCATGGGCAATTGGCCCTGGTTAACCCAGATCCAGAAATACTGGGTGGTAGAAGACCAGGGTCTTTTTACCTTAGACATTCTGAAGTGCCTCTGTATTATAGGTCACAAGTTAGTGTCTCATTTTCTTACATAAATACGAAGGCGTGCTCAAAAACTATGGTGAATGTTTAAATTAAAAATTATTAAAGTAAAACACCCATTGCTGTTAATCCTCCTCAACATTTTCTTCCTCGCTTCAAACACGCTCATCCCATTCTTCTGCCACTTTCTCAAACAGCTCTGGGGGCCTCTTTCATGTATGCCTTAGTTACACTGTCATGACTACTTGATGTCCCGAATCCACTCAAAGTGTTTACCTTTCATGATCATTTTGACTTTGAGGAACAGCTAGAAGTCATTCGGTGCCAGATCTGGTGAATAAGGTGGATGAGGTCACACCATAATGTTTTTATGAGCCTGCCTGCCTGCCTTTCCATGGGATGGCGCTCGGTAGCAGCTTTCCCTGTAGTTTTGGTTCCATCTCATAAAGACACTCAGGAAAGAGGACTTCCAGAACTGCTTCAGAAAGTGGTAAGAGTGATGGGATGAGTTGAGGGCGAGTGTTTTGAAGGGGATTCAGATTCAGGGCAATGTGTCTTTCACTGCAATACATTTTTTATTTAACCACTGTGTATATTGGTCACCTCGGTGCTATTTGTTCATTATAACATAAATCGGAATATGATTTATCACAGGCCCCATGTCCTAGGGACCTGCTGTTGTCATTTGGTATAAGTTTTGGTGTAATTCTTCCAGACAAATGGGCATATGTCTACTTTTTTAAACAATAGAATTAGGTTTAGCTACACACATTATTTTGAATCTTTTTTTTTTTAACTTAACAAGATAAGCTCTGTGACTTGTTTTATCAATTTAGGTCCAAATATATTGTCATCTCTCCTGGATCTTCCCAATGAATTATTCAAACACCTATCTGTCTTCATTAGCATAATATCAAACATCATTATTTTCAGGCTTCCTACATCCCTGTCACCTCATGATTTTTTCCACAAAGAAGGGGGTTTTTAATTTCTGGGGGTCAGCGTGGCAAATTCCCGCCTTGAGAAAAGTGTTGCACAGTCTTCTTGGTTCTCACCACAAGGTGTCACTGTTGAGCCCAGGCTGGCAGAGCCTGGCAGATGCTGACTCACAGGTGGCCCTGTTGGATTCTACAGGCAACCTCCCCTAGGATCTCCTAGGGACGGTTAGGGAACAGTAGGGTGGAGGGGAAACAAGCAGAGGGTGTGCAACCCAGATCCCCACACATGACCTTTGTCGTCTTTCTTGCTAGCAGATCTGGATCCAGGCTACAGGCAGCACACAGGGACTCTTGGTCTCCACCTCTGCCCACAGACATCAGCACCACCCCTACTCCCAGTCGTGACAAACCAGTGTCCCTGGGTATTTCCAAGTTCCCTGGGAGGCAGACCACCCCGTCCTCACCCAGGACCTCTCAGCCTGGACAGAACCAACTCTCCCTGCAGCCAGAAGTGGTTTTCTCCCCTTTCTTTCTCATCTTTAATGCTTGAATGCCAGGAGCCTGTCTTCAGCTGTCACCCAGTTTTGGGCGCAGAGGCTGTTCCCATGCTTTGCCCATCCCGAGTGGGGCTATCTGTGGCTATAGCCATGGCTGTCCTGTTACTGTGATTAACAGGAGGGGTCCTGCCGCCAGACACGAGTAGATCTCGAGGCTTCTGGCGAGCATGGCCATATCGCTTTCCAGAAAGTTCATGCTGCTGTATCCCCACCCTGCTCCTGTGTCTTGCACTAGGCTGGAAGCTGCAAGAGGTTGGACTTATACCTGTTTCTGCTCACTGTTTTATTCCTGGGGAAGTCAATATCTAATGGATAGTAAGAGTTTGATAATTTTTTTAAAAAGATTTTATCAGGAGACAGGGTCTCACTGAGTTGCCCAAGCTGGCCTTGAATTTGCGATCCTCCTGCTTCAGCCCCCGGAGTAGCTAGTATTACAGGGGTTCATCACCCACCCAGTTCAATAAATATTTTTGAATAAATAGCTCTTCCTCCTCCCTTGGCTCATGAAAACTCACAGCAGCTTTAAGTACCCAACCTTTTGCAAGGCTTGCAAAGCATCCCAGCCTTGGGCTCCTGCTCAGAGCCACAGTTTGTATTTTCCCCTCAAGCCCTAATCATGTGATAAACCCATGAATCACTTAGTCTCCTAGCTAAGGCATGGATTTCACCACTCAGTATCTTCCTCTGCCTAGAATTCTCTCCCTCCTGTCCTTTGGGTCCTTGTCTTCATCTGAACCATGCTCCCAAAGCCTAGTCCTCCATGAGGCCCTCGCCCGATGGACCTGCAAACCCAGTCCTTCCCTTGCTCTGGGCCCCCAGAATGCCACATATGTCCTGTGACCCGCAAGGTCTACACCTCTGAGCCCTCACCACCTTGTGTGCTGGCCCTGCCCCTGCACATTTCAGTCCAGCTGCCCTGGTTTCCTTGGTTTCCACCCAGCACACCAGGCATGCTGCTGCTTCCTGGCCTCCATCCCTCCCTGAATGAATGAATGAATGAATGAATGAATGTATGCATGAATGAATGCTTCTATCACTACCTGACCATGCCCTATGTGACTGTCAGTTTCCTTGCCTGGCTCCCTTGTCTGATTGTGACCGCCCTGTGGGCAGCTCTGTAGTTTATCTTCACCCTTGGTTTCTAGCCCCTCACCCCACTGTGATGGTTAAAGGAGGTGCTGGAAAGCTGTTGGGCGCACTTGCTGCTGATCTCCACCAGGGAAAGCAGCAAGCCATCTGCTAAGGATCCTGGGTGTCTTACATTCTCCTCTTCCCTCACAAATTAAAATTGTTGCCTCGGTGCTTCCAACCATCTCAGGAGCTTGATGGTCGCATCATTTCCTGCCTTTCACATTTACTAAAAATGTTATTCCAAAGTTGAGAATCAACTGGTGTCTTTACCATTGGAATTTTTACTTCTTATGTGTCATACCATAGTCACCTGAGTATCCCGGCTGTCAGCCCGAGGTGGAATTTTCTGCAGATAAAATCAGAAATTTAAAATTCTGCCAATGTATGTTTGTTAAATGACTGAAGGATACAGGTTTTATTGAGAAACTCATGGAGGCAAGATAGCTCTGCGCTGGATCAAGAATCCTCCCCACCCTTGGGATGGAGGCAGCCCTGATTTTAGAGATGTCAGTGCTAATCTTAACTTTTCCTTAGGTTTTGGGGCTATCTTTATTTGTCAGTGCCAGTGAGCCCCAAAGGTAAGAAATCTTAATGCTGGGTCCTCTTTTCATGGTTTGTTAGATCAGCCTTAGCCTGAAACCAAAGAACAATCATTCATCCATTCAACAAACTCAAGGGATCCCAGAGCTGGGGCATCTGAAACCTTCCTTAGGATATTCACTCTGATTCAAAACCAAAAACATTCATTAACTCATTCAACAAAATGTGTTGGACGCCCGTTGTATGGCGTCTACCCTCTGGAAGTGCTCAGTTACCTGTGTCCCCATGGCGGGAGACAGACAGTAGGTGGGCATCATGATCAGCACACACATTATATCATGCCTCAGAATGAGTTCCATGCATGAAAGGAAAAATGGCGCAGGCTAAGGGCTTTCAGCAGTGCCTTCTGGGAATGGGGGGCTGGTTGTCACAGTGACCAGGGCAGAAGTGAGGCTTCCATCCATGTCACTGCTTTCTCCTTCTTGATCCTTAATCATTTGCTAAGAATATATAGAATCTGGAGCCTGGCAGACTTGGGGTTGGCTTCCGGCTCTGCCACCTATTAGCTGGTGATCTTGGGTAAGACATCTCTGGATTCTGAGCCTAGTCTCCTGAGGATGGGGATGATGGTCATTTCTACCACACTGGTTACGGAGAGGGTTACGTGAGATGATGCAGGAAAGTCACAGGGCCTGCCGCGAAGCAGGTACAGGATAACTCTTATTGGTGCCATTTTGTCACGATCCCACCACCTTCACATTCCCATTGCCACCACCATCCTGTCAGCCCCACCGTCACCGTGACCACCACACATCAGTCTCCACCGTTATCACTGGTGTCCCCCAGACTCTTTGCCCTCAACTTCCTTCTCTCTCTCTTCCCGTTCCCTGTCTTTCTGTCTCCAGGGCGCCTCTCTCAGCCTGTTTGGGTGACTGTTGCATAATACCTTAGCCCGTAATGCGCAAAGAACAGAAATGTGCCACCCGCCTTAGATTTGGTGTCAGGTGGGGCCTGGTCCTCATGATGGCGCTCTGTAGGTGTCCTCACATGACCGACGGGAAAGGCAGCTCTCTGGGGCCGCTCTGACAAGGGCATTAATCCATTCATGACCCGATTGCCTCCCAGGGGCTCCACCTCTAACAGAGTCACCTCAGGGCTTAGGTTTCTACATATGGACTTTGGGGACGGGAACACGAGCATTCAGGCCCTAGTGGGGCCCTAGGCTTCAGCCTTTCCAGTGCAGCTCTCTAGTGACTTTCTCCACATCCCTCCCCTCCCAGCCCCTGCCTTCCTCAGTATTGTGGACCCTGTCGCTCATTTTCCCTCTGTCTGGCTTGATGGCCCTCCATGGCCCTCCAGAGGGGGCCCACCTTTCCCTGGCCACAAAGTAGAGGCAGAACCCCAAGCAACTTGCCCATGGCTCACAGCCTCGCCGTCATCCATGGCCACTGCAGAGCCCTGGTCCTCGGGTGACGTCAGCCTGGCTGCTGGAGGGCAGTGTTCCAGCCACATGCTGCCTACCACCTCACCTGAGCCCGGGACCGGAGACCTCAGGGTCTGAGGACAGCAGGCCCCCTCCCTGGGACTCTCTCTGCCCCTCAGCTGCCTTCTTTTTCTACCTTTTTCCTATCGTTCCTTCTTCCCCTCTTCTCCTCTTTCTGGCCTTTTGATCATTTTCAGCCTAGTAATTCGTGGCCCTTTTCACTTTCCCAAGGACAAACTCAAGTTGGAGACAATGAAGATTCTGCCTTCCTCCCCTGTCGGCCCTTCCTTCCTCCCTCTGTCTGCCCTCTGTCCCTCCATCCCGTACACGCTTTGGAGCAAGTGCTTGCTGGGCTTCTGGCACTGTGCTTGCTCAGGGCTGAGCTGAGACCTAGATGGAGAGAGGGGAGGGGAAGGGGGAAGAGGAAGAGGAGGAAGAAGAGGGAGTCTCCTTATGATAGGGGCGATGCCCTGGGGCAGGGAGCAGGCAGCAGTGAGGAGAGAAGGCTGGCACGGCTGCCGGCTGGGCACCAGGGAGGCAGGTGCAGCCCGAGCAGACAGGCGGGCAGGCTGTCCTGGGGTGGGGTGGGCGGGCAAGGGGCTGACACTGCAGGCTGTGAGCCATGGGATCCTTGCTGAGCTCTTGGGCAAGCCTGGTGCAGAGCAGGAGGGTGGCACAGAGCGGGGTGCGATGCTGGGCAGTCCTTTAGGAGGCCCAGGGAGCACGCAGGGGACAGGGCAGGGGCCCTGTACCCTGGCATCGTCTGGACCTGGCTCTGTGGGACCCACTCTGGCTGCTTCTCCTGAGCATCAAGGGGAGAACTGGCAGCCTGGAAGAAAACAGGATGCAAAGTGGTCCCGAAATAGGATGCCTCAGATGCTCTGGCTCCTCCCCAGTTTGGGCTTTGAATGAAGCCCCCCCAGAAGGCCGCCTTCCACTTCCAGGGTAGAGTCCTCCTTTGAGCAGAACAAAGAGGGAGAGCGGGTCTTGATTGCTCTATTGTTCCAGCTGCTTCTAACTTGGGGAAAGCTGGGGACAGGAAGAGCGGCCCCTCCCAGAGCCAGGGGTCTGGTATGTTCTGGCGTGACGTCCTTCTGTCCCCGGTACGTGCTCCGTTCCTCCTGTCCTGGGCTTCTCAGAATCCCTTACACACACGTAGCACTGCGGTGGGGGCATGCCTGAGAGGGGCAGAAACCTGTCACGAATGTGCTCGTTCTGATGAACGCTCGTGGAGTGGTCTCTGTTTCAGGTGGTGTCAGGGCCAGAGGGGAACGGTGAGCAGCTACCTGCTCACACTGTGCTCCAGCCCCAGCTCCACCACTACGCTCCTGGGGTGGGCCCAACTCATATTCATTAACATAAAATAAAACTTAAAACTCCCTTCTTCATCCACAGAGGGCACATCTCTAGAAGGGCATTGCCACACATGGCGGGGGGCTTGCCTATGGGCACAGTACACTTCTAGAACATTCCCCTGGACAGGGCTGCTCTCGAACATGTTGGGAGAAACCATGAGAAAGAAATATCAAATGATGATGAGCTTTATGCAGAGAATTAAAACAGACTGAATGACGGTCCCCAGGTGACTCTGATGGGGTTCAACTGGAGAGCTACATATATGAAGAGGTTTGTTGATGGTAAGGAATTGGCATCTGTGATTGGGCGAGGGGCTGGCTGGCCAGGTCTGAAATCTGTAGGCTGAGCTGCCTGGAAACCTTGGGCAGTCTTTGTGTTGCCATCACTGGTGGCATTTCTTTTTCTCCAGGGAGTCCTCAGCTCTGAAGGCTTCTCAGAGGGCGGAACCCACCCACCCAGGTCTCGGAAGATAATCACTGTTACTTGAAATCAGCTGAGGATGGGCTTTATCACATCTACAGAATACCTTCATAGCCATGCCTCGTTAGTGTTTGGTGGAATAGCAGGACCATGGTGGGGGCGCTGTAATTTAGCCAAGTTGACACCTAAAACTGACAGTGAGCCTCTCTGGGGAGATGACACTGAAGCTGAGACTTGAGTGACAAGAAGATAGCAGACAGGAGCTGATCAGGAGGAGCAGCATTCTGAGCAGAGAGAACAGATCCTGCAAACCTATAAAGAGATGGAAAGAGGGCCCACGTGGCTGCACCATGCCGAGTGTCCCAGTGACCTAGTGCTGTGTGGCCAGCCACTCCCAAACATAGAGGCTTAGGACTGCTGCATTGGTGTCCTGTGAGTCCCTGGGCAGCTAGGCTCATCTAGGGGGTCCTCTGTCCCTTGTGGAGTTGGCTTGGGCTGGAGTCATCTGGGCCTGATGGGCTGGGGCATCCAAGATGGCACACATGTTGGATGGCAGTTGGCACCTGTGGGTGGATCAGGGTTCAACCAGGACTGTCTGCTGGGGCATCCACGTGTTACCACCTTTCCATGTGGCTCCTGGTCATGGCAGGATGAGTCTTCCAAGGGGGAGGAAAGGGAAGCTGCCAGTCCTGTGCTGGCCCCACCTTGCTTCTGCTGACAGCTGGATCAGTGAGGAGACAACCAGGAAGCAGAGCCGCTGTGCGCTAATGAAACAGTAGTGATTTATTACAAAGTTAGACCTCACACAGCGCAGGGGAGCTGTGGAAATACAAGGTCAATGGTGGGAGTTTGAGATTCAGACAGGTCTCTGACCTGCGTGGACGCAGATAGGCCAGCCTGCATGGTCAGCCAGGGCTATCCGCTGGGGGAGAAGTCAGGGAGGAGGAGCTGTGGCGGACACTTCTGGCCGTTGTCTCCATGGCCCGCCAGGTGCAGTGTCAGGAGGGAGGGGCTGGGGGTGAAGACAGGAGAAGGGAGGATGAGGAAGTCAGCACCGCACCTTCTGGGCTCCGATGGCCCCGAACCTAAGTGGCCCTCCAGACTATCATGGCTGCACCTTCACTTCTGCCCCCAAATCGTGCACGCCTTCCTTCATTTCTGGCCAGTTCTAACCTGGAATCACTCGGAGAAGGGAATTCTGGATACATGGTACCGGCATAGCCCAGGCTCGTCCAGGGTGGGGAGATGGCAGGTTGCGCCGGCAGTGCAGCTGGCAGGAAGCTGTTGAGGGTTTAAGTTTAAGATGGGAAAGGGCTCAGATTTCATGGTCAGAGGTGGCTGTAGTTTGCTTTGGGCCTCAGTCAGTTTCCCTCCCGCTCCCCTCCTTAGTTCTGTTTCATCTGAGGTCGGCCCCAGTTCCTTGTCTGCTCAGCATCCCTTGCCGTCCTCAGCTGTAGGGTGGGGACCCTCAGGCCATCTTCCTCTTGCGCTTGTTGCAAGGGGAGAACGTGTCCATTCCAGCACAGCCTCGTGACGGGCAAACGGCACTCGGCACCACCGGGTCTGGATGTGTCCAGAGCCACCTCCTCCCTCGTCTGGCCCCTGTCTCTTCAGCACCTACTGCCCCTGTGGAAACCCCCAGGGAGAACAAGGGAGCCTGGCTTCTTGGCTGTCGTCTCTGATCAGCAGCAGAGCTCCTTCCTTTCTTTATTCCTGGCGCTCGGGAAGTCCCGAGCATCAAAGGCTGCAGTTCAGTGTTCAGCAAGGGCTGAACTCTCTGATAGTGGGTTCTGTGTGCTCAAAACCGGGTGAGCTGAGTCAGATTCAGCCAGTCGGTCACATCTTGGAATAAGCCTGTGTCCCTCCCGCAAGGCCCCTCAACAGGTCCTTTCTTGTCCATGATGTTTTCACCAGCTCAATGTATCCAGCTACCTCGACCTTTTTCTTCCTCACAAGCCCTGCCCCAGGGCCTTTGCATGGGTCATTCTTTCTGCCCTAATCTTCCCCAGGGCTGCTTCTTGTCATTTTGGTCTCAGTTCAAATGTCACCTTCTCAGAATCCCACCCCCATCTCAAACAGCTTCTATCTCCTTACTCTTTTTATTTCTGTCTTTCCTTTTCAGAGATGGGATCTTGCTGTGTTGCCCAGGCTAGACCCCCTCCCCTCACTCAAGTGTTCCTCCCTCCTGAGGGGCTGGGCTTGCCACCCCTGCCTGCTAGCCATTACTTTTTGAGTTCCCTCATGGTCCCTAGTGCATCTGACATGATTTTGCTTATGATTCCCTGCCCCTTCGCACTAAAATGATGGTTCTCAAAGCTGAACATTCATCAGATCCTGCCTCCGTGTGTCCCCCCCGCCCTTCCCCCGGACTTCCTGTATCAGCCAGCTGGTCCAGGGCGGCACCTGGGAATGTGCATGGTGACAAGGTCATGGGGACCACACTCTGAGAACCACGGCACCAGAACTGTCTCAGAGTGGGGGGCAGCACCCCAGACTGACTTCATTTGCCTGGGTCAGGCCCAATGTTGGAGAACCGACATGCAGCCCTGGCTCATTTACCCCTCTCAACAACCTCCTGAGCTCCGCGTGATGATTATTTCTATTTTCCAGTAAGAAAACTGAGGCTCAGAGAGAGAGATTCTTCGCCTAGGGTTCCATGGCAACTGAAGGTCAAGGGCAAAGCTGGAAGCTGTGTCCGTCTGACTCACCTATGCCAGGGCAGTGGGGACAGCTTTCCCTTCACTCTGATCGGTCCCCGTCTCCATCTGCTCAGTTCAGATGGAGGTTTGCAGGGAGGGAGTAGCCCACTCCAGAACGGAAACTAGTCTGAGGCGGCCCCCAAACAGCAAGCACGCCACACATGCGCAGAGCGTCTCCGGAGCCAGGGACCGCCTCCCCCTGCACCGAGAGCCTCAGGAATGGAGGTGGGTGAGGAGACCAGGCTGGGCCCGTTTCACAGTGGGGGAAATCTCCGGGCAGGTGTGAGTCTCGTGACTTTCTCTGTCCTTCCTGCCGTGGTTCTGATAAGGGGTGGGGAGCTTCCTCGAGGGGAGAGTATATTTGAAAAGTGGGATGAATGTGCAGGGAGAGGGCAGCGAGGCCGGGGAGGGCGGGGAAAGTATTACTTGGAACAAAATCATTTTTGCCTTCCTCCTAAAATGTTCCAGTATTGTGATGACAGTGTCACTGCCAACTAGGGGGTGGTTCCAGGTCATCGAGATTCTCACTCAGGTGGCCTTTTTCTGTGTTTAGTTGTTTTCCTGATTACTGACTTACAGTCTGTTTTGAGACTTACTCAAGCTATTGTTTGGCGAAGAAGGAAAAAAAAATCACTGTATGGGCCAAATTTGCATCCTATTTGCATACTCTGTAGTATTTTAAAAATGGATGTGCAGAAAAAAGTCCTGGAGGATTTCACTCAGATGGTCAGGATAGCTGTTCTTGGATGAGGGGTGATATTTCTCTTTTGTTCAACTGCATTTTCTTTCTTTTTTTGGGTACCGGGGATCGAACTCAGGACCTTGAGCTTGCCAGGCAGGCGGCAGAACCACTGAGCTAAATCCCCAGCCCTCAACTGCATTTTCTATCCTCCTGGGTGACAAGAAGTTCTCTAACTTTCAATGGAAGTTGCAGAGTCGAGATCCTGCTTCGACCCCGTTTATTTATCTATACCTTTAAGAATACTCTTCTCCCTGCTGCTGGTGCCTACCAACCCTGGATGCATAGATCTCTGGTTTCCTGGTTTATTAAACTCCCTTTTTACACTTGTTCAAAAGGGAACCCCTCCTGGGCTGCTCCTTCTCCAAGTAAACCTTCCTTTGCCTAGACAACTGCTGATTATGCCTTAAAATATGGCAATTTAAATGCCACCACTGCCAACAAGCCTTCCCTGGTTGCATCTGCTCCAGTCCTGTGTGTTTCATTGGACAGTCTTGTCACCGTTTTGATATTTAAGTCCTCCGGATTGGATTGTGATTCCTAGATTGTAGGAACTATCTTTTAGTAGCAAAATATTGGGAGCATCCTGTGTATCAGGCTCTATCCTAAGCTGATTTTTTGTTTTTGGTACCAGGGATAGAACTCAGGACCTTGCAAGGCAGGCACAGTGCTGCTGAGATAAATCCCCAGCCCTATCCTAAGCTGATGTTGAGTGTCATTTCACTTACTCTTCAAATACCCCTGTGAGGCAGGGCCCATGGTAGCCACCAGTTTTCAGATAGGAAAACCAAGGCGCAGGAGGTAAACCATCTTATCCAAGATCACATGGCCAGAGAACTGCAAGGTACCAGGACTTGAACTCGGGCCAAACCCTGACTACCTTCTTCAGTGCACGCTTCCTACACACTACTTAGCTCAGTAGCAAAAGTAGCATGGAATAAATCAACAAACCAATGAGCTGCCGTACTTTAATCACGGGAATTATGGCCTTGGAAGGGAAGGTCGAAGCATTTATAGATTCGCCACAGGAGCTGTGAGTGAGAAAGCACTTACCCCCTGTATGTTGGTCATGGGATTGTAGAGAAGAGACAGCAAGCAGTAGCGAGAGATATTCTCCCTAAAACAGAGGGTAGCAAACTACAATCCACTGGCCAAATTCGACCCTCCACTTGCTGTTGTCATAAAGGTTTCCTGGAACACCTACTTGTTCAGTTAGGGTCTATGGTTCTTTTCACATCCCAAGGGCAGAATTGTGTGTTTAGTGTGACAGAGACCATGTGGGCCATAAAGCCGGTAATGTTCATTCTCTGGCTCTTTAGAGAAGAAGTTTGCTGATCCTTCTAAAAGATCAAGCAAGAAAAAATGAATGTCAGTTAAAGTAGATACACCCGTGTTCTAAACCAGGAGAGATTTCAGCATGATGTAGAGAAGAGCTTCCTTCAGGCGGAGGGGAACAGACTGGGGAGGGATTCTTGGTGAAGAAAGAATTCTATGATGGGGTGAATTGTTTATACAAGCGCCGCGGCATTTTTATGGAGCTGTCATTTATCAAGCACATACTATGCTTAGGGGAAAGCAGGAAGGGTAGGTAGGAAGAAGGGACATGCCCAGAGAGGGTAAGCAACTTGCCCAGGGGCACACAGCTAGTACCAGGTACAGCCTGAGGTCTGACTCACATCATTTTCATTCCAAACGGGTGCTTTTATTCACAGCATCTTTCATGTCCACTTTTCTCTGGAGTCCCAGGAACACGATGCTGTCTGGATAGTACTCCCTGACGGGGTGACCTGCACGCCAGCCCTGCACTCAAGTACTGCGCTGAGTTTAGCCTCCTCATCTGATCACTGTCTTTCTTTTGCACCTTTGTTTCTGCCTGTTATGTCTGGTACTTTGTAGAGGAGAAATGAGGTGAACAGGCTCGGTAATCGGATACCAGGGCACCCTCGGCATCGGCTGACAGCTGCGGTGACAGATTGCTTTTCAAGTACTACCTTCTAAGGACCTTCTGCCTTCATTATCACGGCGCGCGGGAGAACAGAGCGCAGGGCTGTGTTTTTGTTTTAAACCCAAGCCTCCTGGCTCCCAAACGTTAGGGTCGAATAGCTGGTAGGTTGTAGACACTTGGATGAATTTTCCTCCTCCTGTTTATATTCTCGAACACCATCGGACTGGGGCCCCTTCTTGACGGCGCAGTGTCACTTTTGGCCACCAGGAGGAGCTGCCTGAAAGCTTCCTTTGGTTGAAAAAGTCAGAATTGATTCAGATGCCGCGGAAAAGACTCACAAGACTGTGCCAGCCGGAACCTCCAGCTAACCACGTCCAGTTCCAAATCAGGAAAACCTGAGTCCCGGAGAGGAGTAAGCCTTGTCCAGCTACAGTGGGGAACTAGCGTGGGCTTAACTCTCAGGCAGAGCCTTCTAGGCAGGCTGAAAGCCAGGAGGAGGCTGGGGCCTGGTTCCCAGGCTGGCCTTGACCTGCACCTGCAGGCATGTGAGAGGTTCCCGGCTCCCACCCACTGTGGCCTGCTCAGAAGGGACCTTCCTGCCGCTCACATCTCTCGGACGTTCCTGCCATGGCTGCTTTCCAGTCTGACCCCCATTTACTGAGAGACCCATTAAGAGAAGGAGCGTTGAAACGTAGGCTCCAAATAAGAACGAGTGGTGCTGCGAAGGGAGCTCCAACAAGATGGGAAAATGTAGGCAGTGACTTCATTCGCTTGGGAGACATCTGGAAAACACTTAGGGCCAGATTTGGGGCATCTCCAGCTGTATAGGAGCCCTCTGGGGCTGTCAGTAGAATTAACTGGGAAGAGAAGCCACGAGGCCCATTTCAGCAGAAGTCAGCATCTTCGTGCTTGCCATGTGCCCAGCATAGAGATAAAAATCCATAGGTTACACAGGGCAAGGGGCTGGGTTACTGGCTTCCTCTTCCAACTGCCCTGGTCAGTTTGTGTCCCAGGCAGGAGTGTGAGTGAGTGCTGAGCCTGGCATGGGGGTCCTGGCCTGCCACCAGCCCAGCCATGCATAGTAATCTGAGGACTGAGAGAGGTGATGTGCACTCTTTTACCCTTTGAGGCTTTGCCTGGAACAATTTGGAAATCATGTGATCCAAAGAGAACAGGTCAATCAGAGGCTTCAGCTACTTCTAGCTGCTTCCAGTGGCAGATTTCCTGCAGGCTGAGAGGCCACGAGAACCCAGAACAGGTTGAGTCCACTCTGCCATGGGCTTGAGCAGTGGAAGGTGCCACCTGCTGCTTCACTCCAGCCCTTGAACCTGGTGGAGCTATTGCCCCTGGATAGGGGCAGCGTTTTGATCTGTTTTAGTATTTTGGGGCAGAAAAAAAGGTATTGGTCAGTCATTCACGATCTTCTTGCAACATTTGAGAAGCTGGAACAGGTTCCCCGTAGTCTTTCGCAGAAACATATGACCATATTTATTCCCCCAAGGGTGCAAGTTTCTAGATGAGGTACTTTTGGCTGGGTCCTTCCTCACTGCAGACCATCCTGGGGCTGTGGGTGGGGGCCCCTTGCGCAGGACCAGTTATCGCTGTGCGTTCGTTCCATCTGATGTCAAAGACACCAGGTCTCCACCTCAGGTGGAAGATTTCTTGGTGATGTCTTGTTGGAGTTTGAACATGTCTAGCGCATGCTTCTGCAACCTTGGCACCAGTGACGCTGGGGACTGTGTAATTGTTTGTGACAGAGGCTGAGCTGTGCATTGCAGGATGTTGAGCAACACCTTGGGGCTCCACCCACTGGGTGCCCAGAGCCTCGTTCCTCTCTCCTGAGCTTGACAATGGAAAAGGTCCCCAAGGGCTGGGTATAGCTCAGCAGTGCAGAGCTTGCTTAGCAGGTTGAGGGCCTGGGTGTCATCCTAGCAGGGGGTGGGGGAGCTCAGCCTCACATTCCCTCGGGGGGAAACTGCTGGTCCTGACCCTTGCTAAGTGCCCCAGGATTGTGCCGCTCTGACTCTGATGACGATGACAATGATGGTGCAGATGAGGAGGAAGACAGATTCAGTGTTCTGAGGCCAGACAGAAGCCGGGAGGTCTTATGGAGACCACGCTTCTGCAAAAGGCACAGAAAACCCAAACCGAGTTGAGTTTGGCTTATCATGCCCAGAGCATGATTTTTCCAGGGCTCTTTAAGTCACATTAACAGGAGGCAGATGAAAGCTGGGAGCTTTGATGCACTGCTCCCTCCAGCACGCATGCGTGCACACACACACACATGAACACATGTGCACACACACATGCACACACACGCTCTCTCCAGGGACCTTGTTAAAACGTCCATCAGATGTGCAGTAAACAGCTTCACTTCCTTCGGTGGAAGAAGGCGGTAGCTTGGGCTGGATACCTGGGTTCTGGCTTTGCCCTGACTCCTTTGGCTATGGGGACCTCAACTGGGCCTGCCGTGTGGCCTTGCTGGGCCCGCTGTCTCGGTCTGTAACATGCCAGACATGCCAGAGACGGGCACAAATCCTCCCCATGCCTCTATGTCTCATGTGGGACTTTCTTTCCCAACC